TTAATGGGCGGTGTTTTTGCGCATCTCCACGGTACCACCTTATTCGATTCGAGGCGTGAACAAAATGTAATGGCATCCTTGCCCCTCTTCCTTATTTACTCAGATGACCAACGGTTGAGGCTTATTATCCTTCTTTAGGCGGATCAACCGTTGGAGATAACTTGACGTGGAAAGCATATCGACTAATCCTTTCTTTTTATTATCTTATTATTATTAAAGTGAGAATGAATGCAATTTATAGATGCAATTTATGAATGCAATAGACAGTTGAAGAGATGACTTCCCGTGCATGGCATGCGAATGCCCTAATCCTCTTTTCATGGTTTTGTGGAAAGTCCACTTCTTCGACTGTCTATTATATGATGTTATGAGGATGAAGTTTGGTGAATGCATGTATGCAAGTGTTTGTTTTTTCCTAAACATTATCATGTTTTATTTTCTAACATGATATATGATAGTGTTTGGGATTTTGTGTTTTTTTTTGTATGCGGATGAGGGCATGAAGAATACTAGCCGCTTTCTAGAATGCAAAAAGATTTTTATTGTTAAAAATGAATGATTTATGAGATGGATATTCCTTAAGACAATGGCTTAGGTATCCTCCTTAAAGCTTACGCTTTGTGGGGTATCATACCCACCTTGGTGTAATGGTTCCTTCCCCATCACAGATTTGACAAGTATAATGGCAATCACCATCACACCTTAGTACATTCGTTCCTTCCTTGTCGCGAAGGTTACAAATGTGCTCGGGGCCTCTTTCGCCATTGTCTTAGGGATATCTAGTGCTCCCTAGAATGAATGTATTTATGCATGCACCAGTACAAAAGGGCAGTAGATGTTCAAAGTGCGATAACTTTTGACTGGGATGTCCGATTTGGACGCACAACATATCAAAACTAAGAGGAAAAGGTGAAGAATCAAATTGCAAATCCCCAAAGGGGATTTGGCCTAGTAATTTTCCCAAAAAACGCCTCTAAGACCCATTTTTTAGGGATTTATTAAAATGATGCGTATGCATACTTTCCTTATGCACTTATTTTTTCTCTTGGTTTTTCCACTTATGATGCAACATCAATGATACGACTTTGTCAATATTATTTTTATAAATGTTTTGATTTTGTTATTATTATTTTATTTATTGTGGATTTATTTTTTTAGCCTTTTATCTCTTCTGTCGGAACTGCGTGGCTACTTAGCTTACAAAGAACCTGAAACCAGGCTAGCTGAAAGGCAGACTGTCCGAGATAAAAATATGGCTTTATGCGAAAAAAAATATCTAGCATCCCTTATCTCTTCTGTCGGAACTGCGTGGCTACTTAGCTTACAAAGAACCTGAAACCAGGCTAGCTAAAAGGCAGACTGTCCGAGATAAGGGGGTTTATTTGCGAAAATATTTTTGTGATTTTTGTTTTGTTGTTTGTTTATGCTATGCAACAGACAAATGCAACAAACATATGCGCACACAATTTGGTCATCCGAAAACAGGCGAGAATTCGTTTTTATCACGAGGTAGGGTTTTCCTGCAGAAAAGTGCATTGGCGAGGGTTGGTTCTAACTGTTCTCACCAGGCTAAGGCCCCCAAGGTGCCCCTATTATAGGGTCCCCACTCTGCAGCCGTTCGACCATGCTTAGCACTAAGGCCATAGTCAGTCTTGTTGCCAAAAGAGGAAGGTTATCACCTTGAGTGGTGGCTTCCGATCACACTGGTGGGCTCAAGGCCCTCACTACAGCGAACCGTACCTGCCACCCACTCCCTATGGATTTCTCACTTGCCCCCGGGTATAGAGGGAACTGTAGTGTGCAAGGGTTTGTGTACAGTTTGTATTTCACACAATTGCGTAAGTATAAACAAGCAACAGTTATTAAAGCCAAACCGTAAAACATGTTATAATACAAGTTAAGGGCAAAAGCGTTATTTTCTTGGTTTATTTATTTTTAAGCCGGCCCATCACTAAATGGGATCAACTCTCGAGGCTTCCCCAGTGGAGTCGCCATCTGTCGCCGCTGTAAAAAAGAGAGGCGGTCGGAGCGACGCGATGGTTTCGACCCTCTTGATTTTCGCGTTTTTTGTGGGTGGTTACAACGCCTTTAGGTTGTCCGATAACCGGGCTAACGCAAGGACTAATTTTTGAAGGGTTCTGTGGAGTCGCCACCGATGTTTTTACCGGAAACATCGGAAAAGGAGTTTAAAAGGCGTTGGTTTTCAAAAAACCAACTTTGGTCATTAGAACCAGAGTTGGGTAAGGGAGTTGGTTACGTGTAAAGGAAGTGTTAGTTCCTTTACGATGCCCCTTTCGGGTTCCCTATGACAGGCCAACTATTTTGTTAATAAATAAACCGGAAAAACACGCTTTTGCCCTTTTATTTGCGGAATTAAAATATTATGACTACATGGCCCTATCTATTGCGTAATTTAAATAAAGCGGTAAAAGTGGAGAGGGAGAATGTAAACCTCTGAAGCACGCTTCTTCTATTAATTCTCTTAAAAAAAGAGGGTGCTTTGTGGCAACCCTTCACTCTACAGCGCCGGAAACCTCTCGAAACACTCAGAAATCACTCTAAAGACACTCAGAAGCTCCGAAAATGCGTCGGAGGGATTCTAGAGAGAGTAATCCTAGAGAGAAGGAGGAGAGAATGTTGTGTGGTGTGTTGAAATGAGGGGGGAGAGCCCCTATTTATAGGTTTTCGCGCCTGCCAGTGGCGAGACCGCCGTTCTCGTCTGACAGGGTCGAGACCGCCGTCTCGCCAAACGAGACCGTCGTCTCGTCCTTCGCAGGTGGCGAGACTGCCGTCTCGCCAAACGAGACTGTCGTCTCGCCAAACGAGACCGCCGTCTCGCCCTTCGCAGGTGGCGAGACCGCCGTCTGGGAAAGCGAGACCGCCGTCTCGCCATTCGCAGGTGGCGAGACTGCCGTCTCGTTTGGCGAGACGGCGGTCTCGCCATTTGCATGAGGCGAGACGGCGGTCTCATCCCAAAAAAGGCGAGAACCCTTATTTTTGTACAGAAAATCCTTCATATCCTAGTATGGGGCCTAATAGTCTCTCCTAGTGGCTTGTTAGACTTCGTCCATCTTCGAATAGGAAGTCTTTTCCTCTTTATTTGGAGGTCGGGCAAGATTTGGGGTCTACACCAAGATATCATGACAATAACACTAGAATAAGTCACAAAAAGCCAGTTCTAGTGAAAACCATGTTCTTCTTACCCATAATTCCAAGGTTACAAAGAATATTTGCTTCAATGCAAACTGTTGGACTAATGAGTTGAATCTATGAAAAAAGAAGTTTTGGTGTGTTACGTCATCCATCAAATGGTGAAGCATGGAAGTACTTTGATTGGAAACATCCTACATTCGTTGCATATCCATACAATGTAAGACTTGGATTGTACTCTGATGAATTTAACCTATATATTCATGCTTCATCTTCACCTTATTCTTGTTGACCCATGATTATTACCCTGTACAATATTCCTCCTGAAATGTGTATTTCAAAGCCTAATATGTTTTTAACTTGTTGATCCCGGGTCCATTTAATCCAAAAACCCGTATTGACGTTTACTTAGAGCCTTTAATTGATGATTTCATAAAACTATGGAATGGTGTTCTAACATACGACATTTCAAGAAAAAAAAAAATTATGATAAGGATAACTTTAATGTGGACTATCAAAATGGGTATTATCTACAAAATATTATCTACGGATAAAAAATCGTAGGTAAAATATACATTTAATACGAATATTACCTACAAAATTCTATCCGTATGTATATTATCTATTACCTATGGAATTTATCAACGGATGAGATGATTATACATTACCTACGCATGTAGGAGGTAGTAATGCTTATTTACTACTTTACCTACTCATTTTTTACCTACAAATGTGTAATTAAAAAAAATTACCTTTTTTTCTCTTGACCTTCAGCCACCTCACTTACGTGGTCCACCTCCTCCACTCTCCTTGCACCTTCAGTTCCCTTTTCTCTTTCAGCCTTTGACTCCACCATCAACAACCCTCACTCACTCTTTTTCCCCCTTAATCAGCCCCGCAACCCTAACTCCACCATTAATATACCCTTCTCACTTCCAACTAAACCCCTTCTCACTTTCAAAAGTGAAACCTAGGTTTGCATTTTCTACCACCACTTCCGTTGCTGACATTGTTGCCCTATCGCACCGCTACAACATCGTTGCCACACCGTGCCGCGTCACGTCTCACTTCTGCCATCGCTGCCCTACTGCACACCGTGTTGCACCGTGTCGCACCACGTCGCACTGTTGCCACCGCTGCCCTACCACCGCTGCCACTCACGGTTTCCGGCTTTGGATTCAATTATTCTTTCTACAAATTTTGATTTGTTATTCTCATTGGAATTGCTTTTGTGTTGTTGTTATTATTATTGTTATTACTGGTTTGAAGTATTTGGATTGAGACGTCGGATGCCGCTTCAATTGACAATTTTGATTGCTTGATTTAGTTTATTAATTTGGTAACTTTGTGATGAAAGATTTCAGTATTGCTTCTCTGGTACGACATTTGTGGATTTGGGTGCTTTAGAATTTATATTTGGGGTTGAACATAACACCATTATGTTCCATTCCCCTCCATCCTATCCTCTTCCACCAATCCAACCATGGTCTTCAACCAACGATATATTCGAACTATGGACAATTAAATTTCTATCTGTTCCCCAAGAAAAAAAGGTACTTCCATCCAAAATTTTGTAAATGGAAATTGTAACTCATACGTCATACTGAACTTTAAGACTTGAAAAACCTTTCTCAAGCGTTAGTTTGAAGAATTTAAAATATGTACAGGGTTGACAATTTTCTCATTTCCAAAAATATTGCAACAGGCTTACTGGATACATAGTCAGAACAATCTTGGTTACTCTATCGTATGTTGGTTTGCCTCACCTTTCTTGTTATGGATCTTCCCATGCGAACACGCCTCTTTACGAGGGCATCTAATAAGATCGTTAAAGCATGTTCCACTGCTTCTGCCTGCTTATCCAATTCAATGGACCTAACACTACAAGAAAATTATTAATTATCGACAGATATTTATCGACGAATATGTAGCTATCAGAAAATGATTGATTATCGATAAAAATTATCGATGAATTTAAAGTAATTGTGGAATTTGGTCTTACCGACGGATATATTCGTCGGTAAATGAACAATTAATTACCGACGGATAAAAAAACAATTATTTACCGATGGATATATCCGATAGTAAATAAACAATTATTTATAGACGTATATATCAATCCGGTAAATAAACAATTAATTACCGACGGATATATTCGTCGGTAAATTAACAATTTAGGTAAATAAACAAGTAGTTATTGACAGATATATCCGTCGGTAAATCAACAATTAGTTACTGACAGATATTACCAATGGATTTAAAGTATATTTTTAAAAATCATCATTAAATTAAAAAAATTAAATATTTAAAATGATATAATAATTAATTAATTATAAATATATTCTAATAAATTAATTATTTACCCAATTAAAAAATAAATACTTTTTATTTTATAATTTAATTTAATCATAATTAGATTAATTTATAATAATTTGTTAAATTAAATAATTTTAAAAACTAATTTTAAAAAATAATTTTAAAAATAAATATTTAAGTATTTTTAATATTAAAAAATTATTTTAATATAAGAATTTTAATTAAACAATAGAAGAAGAAAAAAAGATAAAAAGAATAAATTAAAATAAAATAAAAATAAAAAAGAAAAAAATTATTTTATATCATTATATAAATAAATTATAAAGATTATATTCTATCATTAAATTATAAACCCATATAAAGAGACTCGCTCACAAATTTGGTATCAAAATTTTGAAAACTCATTCGGCACACACTTTCATCTTGGAGTGCGCTCTCACATCCAACATATAAATATATAAATATATAAATATACAAATATACAAATATACAAATATACAAATATACAAATATATAAATGCATTTATATATTTTATATTATATATTTACACGGATATACATTTATTTGTATATAAATATAATTTATTTGTAAATTATTATCGAGAAAATTTTAGTAGCTCGATGGTTAGAATATCGAGTCTCAAATTTCAAGGTACTCGGGTTTGAATCCTACCAGTCACAATTCTCTTAATTGGATAATAATCCAAATTTCTAAAAAATGTAATAAATAATAAAAATAATAAATAGAGGGTATTAATAAATATTTTTTTTAAACGACTAATAATTGAAATTAAAAAAATAATAATAAAATACCTACTTACTAACGGACTTTTTAAATCTGTCGAAAAATTTAATTTTTCTTTTTGTGTAAATTGTGGAAGAAGTTAGAGCTCTGAGAGCAGGCATGTGGCAGCTGGCGCTATGCATGTCCGATCTCAAGATGGTTGTGGTCTGCCCTTGAAACACAAGTTTAGATCATGAATTCATTAAACACAGGGGAGGCTCCATAGAAAAGATAGCAAGAATATACTTTGCAACATAGCTGTCAATTAATCTTAATTTCCTTTTCTTACTCACCTAAGTTTATGCATAGCAGAAGCACCAAGGTTTAAGGATATACAAGGTAGGTCCTTGTTGCTGCTGTAAAAAGAGGTCGTTGCGACGTGACGGTTTTATGACTCGCGTTTGTTTTGAAAAAGAGTGGTCATTGCTCTTAGGGTGTTCGATAACCGAACTACCCTTAAGAGCGAGGTTTTTGTAAATGGGTCCAAGAGTCGCGATCGATATTTTTACCATAAACATCAAAAAAGGAGAAAAAAGAAGGCGTTGGTTTAAGAAAAACCAACTTTGACCATTATAACCAGAGTTGGGTAAGGGAGTTAGTTAAGTGTGGGGAAGGTGTTAGCACCCTACAATGCCACTTTGGGTTCCCTATGATGGAATAATCTTAAAACAAAGATTTAAAAAATTATGCTTCTACCCTATTTATTCATTGCGGTATTTAAATAACTATCTACATGGCCCTAATATCTAAAGCACAGAAAGGAAAGCAGTAAATGAAAGCTATAAAAGAGAAGGAATAGAGAAAGGAACCTCCGAAGCAAGCTTTTATATATTTCTTGAAAACGTGAGGACGCTTTTTGGCAGTCCCTTCCCTCTACAAGAGCACTCCTCCCCGAACAATAAAAATTCTTATACTACTGAGTGCTGGATGTCTCAAAAAGAGACTTCCTTAATTGACTTAATCCAAAAGGGATAGTGGGAAAGAGTACTCGGACTCTGAAACTTAATAAAAAATGCTCTGAAAAGTTTCAAAGTAGAGAGAGAAGAGAGAACTGCTCTGAATGGTCTGTGAAATGAGAGAAATGATGCCTCTATTTATAGGCTCGTGCTTCCAGGAGGTTAGGACGGTCGTCCTGGATTATGTAAGGTGGGACGGTCGTCTAGACATTTGGGACGATCGTCTCGGGCTAAAAATGGGTTGAGACGGCTGTCTGGATCTGCGACAACCGTCCCAGGCCCCCAAGGGGGTTGAGACGGCTGTCTGGATTTGGGATGGCCATCCCGACCCTCTGACAAAAAACCCTAATTTTTATTTTTCTAAGAAAACCCTCATTTTCTTACATGGAGCCTAGAAAATTCTACTAGGGGCCTAATGAAGCCTTGACCATCTTCGAAATGGAGGATTACTGAACTTATTGCAAGGTCGGGCAAGATTTGGAGTCTACAGCAACTCCCCCTTCACTTGACTGACCAGTTGTTAGCTAATGTACCAAGAGATCGGCTAGCGGGTGAAGGAGTTAACCCTCTTGCCTTATTGTCCTTCGGATGCTCCCTTGGTGCAGTAGCTGACCCTTTGGACGATGAATGTGAAGCTCCAGGATGTTCCTTCGATGCGGTAGCTGCCCTGTAGCTGACAGACGAGTGGGAAACCTCAGGATACTCCTTTGAAGTGATAGCTGACCCCTTGGTTGATGAATATGAACCTTCATCAGGTGTGATGTAGCCTTGGAATGCTCCTATGATGCAGTAGTTGACCCTTCAGCTGACAAGTATGGAAATTTTGTCTTCCGGATGCCCCTTTTGTTGTAGAGGTTGACCCTTCGGACGACGAGTGTGTATAGAATTTTGTCTTCAGGATGCTCCCATGCAGCGGAAGCTAACCCTTTAGACAGTAAAGGTAGATTGTGTCTTCAGGATACTCTTTTGCTGCAGAGTTGATCCTTCGGACGATGTATGTCAATCCTATCTTCAAGATACTCCTTTATTGCGAAGCTGATCCTTCGGACGATGGATATGAAGATATTGTCTTCAGGATGCTCCTTTGCTACGGAGCTGATCCTTCGGACAATGTATGCAAATCCTGTCTTAAAAAAAGAAGCATCTTTTGGGATTTACCATATTGGAAGGATAATTTATTGAGGCACAATCTTGATGTTATGCACATAGAGAAAAATTTCTTTGACAATAAATTCAACATTGTCATGAATGTCAAAGGTAAGATTAAAGATAATGATAAGGCAAGGAAAGACCTAGCTTTGTATTATTGGAGACCAGATTTAGAATTGAATTTGCAAGCTAATGGGAAGATGGTAAAGCCAAAAGAAAATTATACTTGTCGCCGCCATCAAAACGAGGGGCGGTCGGAGCGACGCGATGGTTTCGACTCTCTTTGATTTTTGCGTTTTTATTGGTGGTTACAACGCCTTTAGGTTGTTCGATAACCGGGCTGAACCTGAGGGCGAGGTTTTCGAAAGGGTGCTCTTGGATTGTCCGATAACCGGGCTAATCCAAGAGCTAGTTTTTTGAGGGTTCTCTGGAGTCGCCACCGATGTTTTTACCGGAAACATCGGAAAAGGAGTTTAAAAGGCATTGGTTTTCGAAAAACCAACTTTGGTCGTTAGAACCAGAGTTGGGTAAGGGAGTTAGTTACGCGTAAAGGAAGTGTTATTTCCTTTACGACGCCCCTTTCGGGTTCCCTATGATAGGCCAGCTATTCTGTGGATAAATAAACCGGAAAAATACGCTTTTTCCCTTTTATTTTGCGGAATTTAAAGACTATGACTACATGGCCCTAATGTCTATTGCGTAATTTAAATAGTGCAGTAAAAGATAGAGAGAAAGTAAGAACCTCTGAAGCTAGCTTTCTATTAATTTTTGTAAATAGGGTGCTTTGCGGCAGCCCTTCACTCTACACTGCGTCTGAAAACTCTCGAAAACGCTCTAAAAATAACTCTAAAGACACTCAGAAGCTCCAAAAATGCATCAGAGGGATTCTAGAGAGAGAAACTATTGATGTGACTAGAGAGAGAGTGAGAAAGCTGTGTGAAATGAGGGGAAGGGAGGCCCTATTTATAGGGATTCGTGCCTGTCAGGTCAAGATGGCCGTCTCGTCTGACAAGGTCGAGACGGCCGTCTCGACATTCCAGACGGCCGTCTCGCCTTGCAGGAATGATGAGACGGCGGTCTCGCCACTTGCGCTAGGTGAGACGGCGGTCTCGAGTTTGAGACGGCGGTCTCGACCCTAAGAGGCGAAAATCCTTATTTTTGTGCCAAAAATCCCTCCTATCCTAGTATGGGGCCTAATAGTCTCTCCTAGTGGCTTCTTAGGCTTCGTCCATCTTCGAAAAGTAGGTCTTCTGCTCTTTATTGTGAGACTGGGCAAGATTTGGGGTCTACAGCTGCCCCCCCTTTACCTGACTAGTCGGCTGTTAGCTTGTTGTGCCAGACAGATCGACAGGAAGGTAAAGGAGTTGACCCTCTTGCCCGGTTACCCTTCAGATGTTCCGTCTTGCGGCGGTTGATCTTCTGGGGAAAACTTGTGTTCATGCACTTCTGGGATACTCCTTCTGACGGTAGTCGATCCCTTCGGTGAACACGTGGTAGAACCTCAGGATACTCCTTCTGTCGGTAGCCGATCCTTCGGTTGATGGGTATAAACCCCCCATCAGGCTGGTAGTTGTAGTCCGTTGTGTGTCGAACTGGATGGGTATGAACCCCCCATCAGGCTGGTGGTTGCGACTTACTGATCCGGCTCGAGCGTAGATCAGGCGCACCGCGTGCGCAGGTTGATAGGTATGAACCCCCTATCTGGTTGGTACAGTCCACTGCGTAGGACTGGTGGTAATGGTGGCTTACTGTTCAAGTGGCCCATGCACCGGTTGTTGAGATGTACTTTTTGTTGATCTTCTTTGGAGATATGGTTGTCCGGTCTGTGCCGGGGATTTTGTGGGTGCTCATCCAACTTGCTTGTTTGCTGGAGACTCTTTGTTTTTTATCTTTTTGTGGTGATCACCCAACTCTTGCTGGCTGGTTGGGCGATCTTTGTTTGTTTGTTCGACTCTGGCTTGGTAGTCGAAACTTTGTTGGTTGAGGTGATGGCTGGCGGGGCGGCTACAGATGGCCTCCCGGTATCCCCGAGTGAGCATGTCCTCGGGTTGAACGAATCCAATGCTCACATTGAATTCGTCGAGGGTGGTGGTCCGGTATTCCCCACCCATGAAGTAGTTCACCATCTTGGTGGGTGGTAGGCCCGGGACCATGGAGGGAGCCTCGGCGTAGGAGATGGAGGCCAAGAACTCCAGTACCGCTTGAGGGTACACGTGGGTAGGTGGAGACTGCAGCAGGAAGCCCCACCCGATGCTGTCTATGTGGGCCCGGACATTGTCCTCCCACCCGAACTCGGCGAGGATGCTGAAGTCGAGCCTGAACATGGGGTGCCACGAATAATCCCGGATGTGCTCGAGGCGGGCCTGGTGTTGTGGCGACAACTGAGTGGGGTCTTGAGGGGCTGGTGCCAAGGAGCTGCTGACACCGGCAGTGCCTCTTCTCTTCCTGGAGGGGTTTCCACGGAACATATTGACCCGGAAGTGTTTGGAAGTGGTAGATCTGAGAGTTGGAGGTTCCAGAGTGCAGGAGAGTTGTGAGGAACCGCTCCCATCGCACCCCTATATATAGGGGAAAAATCTGGGTCGAGATGGCCGTTTGGGAAGTCGAGACGGCGGTCTCGATTTTCCGTAGGTCGAGACGGCCGTCTGGGTTTTCGAGATGACCGTTTGGGTTTTCGAGACGGCGGTCTCGACTTTGGGTTCAAACGAGACAGTCGTCTCGCCAAGCGAGACGGCGGTCTCGATTTTGCCTAAGTCGAGACGGCGGTCTCGTAGGTCGAGACAACGGTCTCGATCTGCAGAGGACTGAGACGGCGGTCTGGAAATCCCAGACGGCCGTCTCGAAATTTCAGGTTTTTTTTTTTTTGAATAAGAAAATAGGACCTGGTTCAAAAACATTTTATGCATGCAATGTTTTTATGTTTGATGTCCTATAATGCCTAGTTTAGTTAATTTTTCAGAAGGACTTAACTGACGTGTCTTGTTGCGCCGAATGCCCTCTGATCTGTTGTGCTTACTCTTGGCTGTACCACGCCGGACTTCTTGTGACCGAAGGATAATTTTTTCTTTCTTT